AGCAGGGGCGCTGGGAGCCAGGACTCCTGGGTTCTCTCCCTGGCTCTGGAAGGGGAGGAGGGTCTGGTGGGTTAAAGCAGGGAGCCAGGACTCCTGGGTTCTCTCCCCTCCTTGCCCACGAATTTAACCCCTTTCTCCCGCCCCCAATTCTTTGTGGGGCTGGCGGGATTCGAACTTGCAGCCCGGAGCCCTGGCGCAGAGCAGGCTGCCAATCAGGAGAGAACCCAGGCGTCCTGGCTCCAGCCCCCTCCCCCCCCCCCCCCCCCCCCCCTCGGAACAACCCCCCCTGTTCTGGGAAGCCGGGCGGGCGCAGCGGCCGGGAGTTCGTTCACATCTGGCATGGATTTAGCCCGGGACGGAGGAGAACACAGATTTGGGGGGGAGGGGTCACGGTCTGGCAACTGGAGCCGGGAGGCCCAGCTGGGGATGGGGGGGCTGGAGCTGGGGCCGGAGGGGAGCCGGCGCCCCCTAGAGGGAACAGGCCCCTGCCCCCCCTGAGCCAGCCAGTCCCGGCCCTGGAGTCCGGACAGTTGCTGGTTTCCCCGTGTGGCCCCCGAGTGGGAGAGAAGCCTCGCACGGCCGTGTAAGCATGCAGCACCAGAGCCGTGCGAAGGAGGCCGCGGCCTGCAGGAAAGCGAGACAGGCATCTCCGTGTGCTCCTGGGAAGGCCTCTGTGTACCTCGGGGTATGCGGCTCCCCTGGGTTGGACCCTCAGCCCAAACAGACTCAGATTCACCCTGTAATGACCCATCACCCACCACCCCATAGCACCTGTGTGCACAGGTCGGGGGGGGGGGGGGAATTCTTTCTGCATGGGAAAGGATTCAGGGGTTTGCTCCCTGGCTCTGGAGGGGAGCGGGGGCTGGAGGGTCAGAGCAGGGGGCGCTGGGAGCCAGGACTCCTGGGTTCTCTCCCCGGCTCTGGGAGGGGAGTGGGGGCTGGTGGGTTAGAGCAGTGGGGGCTGGGAGCCAGGACTCCTGGGTTCTCTCCCTGGCTCTGGGAGGGGAGTGGGGGCTGGTGGGTTAGAGCAGTGGGGGGTGGGAGCCAGGACGCCTGGGTTCTCTCCCTGGCTCTGGGAGGGGAGTGGGAGCTGGTGGGTTAGAGCAGGGGGAGCTGGGAGCCAGGACTCCTGGGTTCTCCGCCCCTCACTCCAGACCTTAACCCTTCCCCCCGCCCCTTCTCTGTCTCCCAGAGACCTTGCTGAACACCCGGCTGGAGACGTCGGATCTGAAGTGGACGACGTACCCCCAGACAGACGGCCAGGTGAGAGGGCTGGCAGGAAGCAGGTGGCAGGTGGGGGCCGGGGGGAGGGGGGCTGGAAAGAGGGGTCAGATATTGTGTGGGAGGGGGCCGGGCGGGTCGCAGGCTCTGTGAGATGGGGGGATCCCAGGTATGGGGGAGCACAGTGGGTTCTGGGGAGGTGTGGGGGCAATTTTTTTGGGGGGGCTGTGGAGGAGTAGGGGGTGCTGGGTGTCTGGCCCCCCCACTGACTGAACTCTGTTCCCTCCCCTGTTCTCTGCCCCGTCTCCTCCCTCTGCCCCCCATCCCCCATCTCTTCCACCCCCTGCCCCATCTCTGAATTCCCTGTTCTCTGCCCCCTGCACCCTGTCTTTCCCCTCCCTTTCTCCCACCCTCGTAATGCCTCTGCACTCCCCTTTTCCTGCACCCCCTCTTTCCCTGGCCCCCCATCCCCTGCCCCCTCTCTGCCCCGTCTCCTCCTCGTGCACCCCATCCCCCGTCTCTCCCTCCCCCCTGCACCCCATCTCCCCCTGCATCCCATCCCCATCTCCTCCTGCACCCCATCTCTGAATCGCCTGCTCTCTGCCCCTGTCTCCTCCCCCTGCACCCTATCCCCCATTTCCCCGTATCCCCCATCGCCAAATTCCCTGTTCTCTGCCCCCTACACCCCATCTCACCCTGCACCCCATCTTTCCCCTCCCTTTCTCCCACCCTTGTAATGCCTCTGCACCCCCCCTTTTCCTGCACCCCTCTTTCCCTGGCCCCCCATCCCCTGTCCCCTCTCTGCCCGCGTCTCCTCCTCCTGCACCCCATCCCCCATCTCCCCATCTCCCCCTGCACCCCATCTCCAAATCACCTGCTCTCTGCCCCTGTCTCATCCCCCATCTCCCCGTCTCCCCCCCCTTCCCCGTGCCCCCCGGCAGTGGGAGGAGCTGAGCGGGCTGGACGAGGAGCGCCAGCACTCGGTGCGCACGTTCGAGGTGTGCGCGGTGGAGGGGCCGGGCCGGGAGGCCTGGCTGCGCAGTGGCTTCGTGCCGCGCCGGGGGGCGGCCCACGTCTACGCCGAGCTGCGCTACACGGTGGTGGAGTGTTTCTCCCTCCCGCGCCCGGCCCGGGCCTGCAAGGAGACCTTCAACGTCTTCTTCTATGAAGCCGAGCGGGACCTGGCCACGGCCACCGACCCGCCCTGGCTGGAGAACCCCTGGGTCAAAGTGGACACGGTGGCGGCCGAGCACCTGACCCGCAAGCGCCCGGGGGCCGAGGCCACGGGGAAGGTGAACGTCAAGACCCTGCGGCTGGGGCCGCTCACCAAAGCCGGCTTCTACGTGGCCTTCCAGGACCAGGGCGCCTGCATGGCCCTGCTGGGCGTCCGGCTCTACTTCCAGAAGTGCCCGGGGGCCGTGGCCCGCCTGGCCGCCTTCCCGGAGACGGTGCCCCGGGAGCTGGTGACGCCCGTGGCCGGCGCCTGCGTGGCCGGGGCCGGGCCGGAGGGGCCCGGGCCCCTCAGCATGTACTGTCGGGAGGACGGGCGCTGGGCCGAGCACGCGCCCGCCGGCTGTGTCTGCCTGGCCGGGCACGAGGCCGCCGAGGGGAACACGCAGTGCCGAGGTGAGGTGCCCGGACGCCAGGGTTCTGCGGGGAATGGGGAGCAGATGCGGGGCTCCAAGGTGGCCCGTATGTCTGGGTTCCCAGGATGGGGAGTTGGATGCCTGGCTTCTGAG